TCATGCACAATATATTGGTAAGTATATGAGGTCAATTTTTATTATTTTTATATAAGACTTTCAAAATCTCTTTTCTGTTAAGTAAATATGATTTTGCAAAGAAATCGTACGTAGATTGCGCCGAACTCGTAAACCTATCATTGTCTGTGTATTCTACAATTTCTTATGAAATGTAATATTACATTCTGTGATTCACTGTGGGTACCAGCATTTTCATTATCAACTGAAAGATTTTGAGAGTTGATTTTATCCTAAATTTATGGTAAAAGTTCGATTATTGCCACGAGATTCGAAGTCTGTTTCCGGAAAACTTAAGCTTAGAAAAATTTTGTACAACAAAGATGAGTGAATAACAATGTCTTTGATTTTATGGTTTTCGTTTTTAATTGAAAGTTTTAAAATTATTAAAGTTCTACTATTTCGAATGTGTATCAATATCTTAAGGGTTTGTCCTTATATAATATCTTAAATTATAATTAATATTAATATATTCTTTTTTTAATTTTAAAAAAATAAAAAAAAATACCCCGTCGTAGTTTTTGATACTTTCATATTATATAATAATAGAAATAGATTTTGCATAGTAAATTATAACATTTAATTAAAATACAAAATATAATTTTATCTTTTTCAATTTAATAACTTTGTATTTCTCGTGCGAGCGCGGGTTTTTCTTTCCTATTTTCCTTTTTTTCGTTCTACTTTCCTTTTTTAAATCCTAAAATGAAAGCGTTACGTCATGCCATCTCTCTCTAGAAGTTTCCTATTCCAATTGAAATTCAGATTCAAATTTCGGCCGTAACCGACCCGGGAATTGGAAAGTGATTTGAAATCAATGTATAAAAGACGCAAGCCCTAAACAAATCCCCCCCCCCCACCCCCCCGCGGAGAAACAAGATTATAACCAATTTTCTTGTTCCCTCTTCTCTCGTCAGGTCAGTCATGGGTAGAAGTAGGAAGATTCCGATGGAGAGACGAGGAACGCAAGAGCAAAGAGCTGTTAGCTTCACAAAGAGGCGCAATGGTCTCTTCAACAAAGCCGCAGAGCTTTGCATGCTCTGTGGCGCACAGATTGCCCTCTTGGTGTCCTCGCCTATATCTAAGAAGGAATCTTTCTACTCTTTTGGTCACTCCTCCGTCGACGCCGTCATCTACGCATTCCTCAACGGTACGACTCCTAATCCAGTCCAAGACGACGTTAAGAACTCTGCGGTCTCGGTCTATCAGGCAACGAAAGCACTGGAGTCACAGCCAGAAATTTGGGACACCGATAACAGGAAAAGGAAGAGGGATGTCAAACAATTCTGGCCGGATCTTGAAGATCTTGCCGATGATTGCCGGTCAATTGAGGATATACGTTTCGCTATTGATCGGCTACAAGAATTGAAAGATAAGGTACAGGTCAGGTTGGATAAGAACAGGAATAATCAAGAGGAGATTTCAAAGCATCATGTTCGATCAGAATATGCTCAGGACGATGACGGTGTCGATAATCCAACTTTGGACCTCCTTCAATTTTTTAGTAGCCGTCCTACAATTGATTTTAATTCTGAGCTTGAGGAGCGGGAAGGAAGAAATGATGATAGGATAACTGCTGGGATAAACATTTTTTCTGAATCTGATGAGACTGAGGATGAGACTGCGGGTGAGGGTGAGGGTGAGGGTGAGGGTGAGGGTGAGGACGAACGTGAACAATCCGTCTCACACTCTTCCGCCACATCTTTTCACAAGAGAAAACAGAATCCAACCGAGGAAAGCGAGAGATACACACTTTTTAGAGATGAAGTTGCTGCAGGAGGAGAGAATAGTTTACTTGTCCAGAGAATTACAGAAGTTTTTGGAGAATTACAGAAGGTTAAAGGGCTTACCCAGAGTGAGATCAACCAAGCATCTATTAGATTGACCAGCAATCCATCATATCTGCTGTTGTTTTTCAGCATTCCATCAGAATATAGACTTGGATGGGTTAGGAGCTTCTTGAGTGAAAATATTATGTGCGTTGATTAGATTTCATATAGAGTTTTAGGATTGGAGAATTATGCGTCTTATAGAGACATCTTGTCATATAGATTTGTTAGAAATTCAGAATCTGATTGTGCATACTTTTCTTGTTAAATGTAAAATCAGCTGGATAAGCAGAGATCCTAATAGGACTGCTCAGTGGTTTCTCGTTTACCAAACAAGATTCTTAATTGAAAATAAGAATTTAGGCGCACTTGATCTGAAACCCTAAAACAAACAAGAAGAACCTGATACTTCATAGTATTTAAAAATTATTTGAATTTTATTAAATTTTTAGTTCCCTAATTTTTATATGGTTCATTGATATTTGATCATATGTAATTTAATATGTGACTAGAAAGTGGGATTAAGATATTTAATGAAATAAACAGTTTTGGATAGAAACGTGAAAAGATTTGTGAGGTTATTGATTTCGCCCTACCAAATTCGAGGATAAGCATAGAAATACAACTCACTTGAGGGAGGTCCAAATTTGGATTATCATCACCATCATCGTCCTTAGCGTACTCTGGTCGATTGTGATTCTCTGAATCTCCTCTTCATTATTCTTATTCAACTTGATCTCTTCTTGGTCTAGTTATCTTACTAACCTCATCTCTTGATTATTCTTATTACAATAATTTGGTCAATATATTAAATTTTCTGTTTCTATTGAAATTAAAATTATTTAACTAATGTTCTATTATTTATTTAAATTTGTTCTGAATAAGAAAATTGCGTTCACATCTAATTCTATTAAACATTTAACTAAATTTTTGCTAAAACTAAAATTATTTAATTAAAAACTATACTATTTAATTAAAAATATTGTCGTAATAAAGTCGTATTATCAAAAATTCTACTCAAATTATAATTGTTTAATTAAAAATATACCGAAACCAGACCCGTATCATTAAAAAGTATTTTAATTATTTAATTAAAAAAATTCTATTAAAATTAAAACAGAATAACTAAAAAATTCTACTAAAAAGAAAAAAAAAACTAGTATCGAGACAAATATAAGCATTCAACAAATGAAGAGACTACGCTCCCCCCACCACCCAAAAAAAAAAAAAAAAAGATTTTCACACGAGAATGTGCAGTCACATGTTAATGGAACCCTAACACCCCAATTATCATTTACAGGAGTAAGAGAAAGAACATAATCGGCTTATGGTAACACAAGCTTTGAGACTTCTCATAATGTGAGAAATCAAAGCCCTGCTGAGGCATACAAGAAATGAAAAATATATATTGAAAAAAAAAAAATGAAGCATAACATCCTATAGGAGATTGATTTACCATGACTAGTTCCTAAACACAGTCAGCGTTCTAATTTCCCCGATGGACCGAGTCATCTTTTGGTAGAGCAACATAGTTCAAAGGTATTGCCTGATTAACCCGGCCGCTTTCTCTACGTTCCTTCCCGGTGGAGAGTCCATGACGGCTCAAGGGAGTTCCCATGCGACGACCAACTGGCGTTCCAACCGTGTTGTTCGTGTTGGCGCTCTGACCCAGCGGCTTCTTACTTATCGGGGGCCTAGAACCATATAGTGCCTCTTGCTCTGCAGCAAGCTGTTCTTGCAGTCGTTTCTGCTCCTGTAGGAGAATAAGAAATAGATGGTATCTCAGTTTGTTCCGTGCAACCTGAACCTCATCGTACTTGCAGAGTGGTCGAAACCGACTACTTCAAAATAATGTATGGTTCAAAGAAGATACACAATTGATCTACGTGTCTTCAAACCTCATAATTACTACTTATTAAGGAATTATAGCAAAAGGAAGTTCCTGTTAAGGATTCCTATTATATCAAGTATTATAGCACAAGGAGTTCCCGTGAAGGAGTCCTATAATATCAAGTATTTTGTTCTTCTATTTTGGATGCACTAATGGTGCCTATATAAAAGTTGCACGAACAAAAATCTCATCTAAAATCATAAAATTGAGATCTTTCAAAAATTTTATGTAGAAATAAGATAAGGTACTTCCAATTTTATGGTTTGAAATGCACTGTTTCATTTCCACTTGAAATTTCCTGTGAGATCCTTTTCACCATGCTTTAGTGAAATATATATGAAATCTAAATCAATTTCATACTAATAATCCATTTTCCAAAGATAGCTTAAGTTTCTATCGAGTTCTCTTCTACTACATCGCATAACTTCAAGGGACAGGTACACTGCCAGCAATCAGATTACCAGAAACATGGCAAGTACATAAAACCATTCCTTCCTTTCAAATTACTTAGGTGACAACACATATTCTAGGACAAGAATAACCTTTCGGTATAACTCAAGTGCTTTATTATTGGGGGGAGGAGGTCAGAAAAGTGAGGGCATGTAGAAGATTCTAAACAAAGGGTGGTACAAAGAAATTTGAGTTATGACTCCTCTTTTTCTGTTGCACAAATTTTTTCCTCGTTCTGAAAGGAATAAGAAAGTTTTATGTCCATTTCGTTTTCTCTTTCTTTGCGGCCTATAAGCATGATGTCACTTGGGCTTATATCTACAAAATCATTGTGTCGCCATATACATATCCACAAACATTTACATGGAAATATCATTTTTAGATAAGCATTCAAGCGAAAAAAAACTAGCATACCCGACATCTACGCTTCTCCTCTTCTCTCTCTTGGCGTAATACAGTATATTCCTCTAATGTATGTAGCAGAGGCGCCTGAAAGAAAAAGATTTCAACGAAAGCACTATAAGGTAACATGAAAATTGTAAACCAAACAGTAAGTTGAACTACCTTCTCATACAAAAAGGGGACTCCTCTCTCCAGTTCCCAGGCTTTGACTTTCGTGATTAGACTTTCAACAATAGCTAGACACAGAAACAAACTGAATGTCAATACAATGAAACGATTCAGCCAAAAAAAACTACAATTAAGGACTTGGCACAAATCGCAAAGGCAAGTCATGTTACTATCCTTTCACATTTGCAAGACATAAAAATGCGGGGCATGAACTGTAAATTCACCAGTTTCTTAAGAAAAGAGGCATATCCTAAGTGCAAAAACTTCTTTACATTGCCAATGAGGATTCTGCTATCATATTAACCAGGTTTTCTACATTGTTAAAAAAAATTGAAGTCCTAGTGAACAAAAAACAAACTAAAAAAATATATGAAAAAATGAAATCTATATGATGATATAATATAACTAAGCATAACTATTTTTTTTTTTAATTTTTTAATAAACTAATGACCTTTCTATTTCCCAATCAATTACTTGGGGCTTTCATAGTAGAGACAAGGGATATGAGAACCTCTAACCAGCAATATGGAAAAAAATTGGCAGTTTGGAGGAGTTTTTTGTCTAAGGGAGGAACATTGGCCCTCTTGAGAAACATACTTTTTTTGTCTAAGGGGGGAACATTGACCCTCTTGAGAATCACGCTCTCTAATCTCCTCATCTATTAAATGTCTATTTCCTACACCTAGTTGTGAGGACAAAAACGATAACAGATTCAGTTCCAGTTCCAAGGGTCGCTTTTTTTGTTTGGGAAGCTGTTACTATGGACAATCTTAGGAAGGGGGGCTGCATCATCATCAATCATTGCCTACTTTGCCTATTGCAAGCATCTCTTCATATCCTCTCTTGTAGGGAGAAGGCTTTTGGATTCGACTTTTAGTCTTTTGGGAATCAAGTGATGACGACTTTTAGGCATATCCTCTCAATTTAGAATGAGCTTTTAGCTGGAGATGGTCTGCTTGCCATAAAGCCAAGAAAAAGCTAGTAGACCTTATCTCTCATGCAATATATTTTTGAGAAGAACCTCTTGTGCAACATTTATGACTAAATGGAAAGAAAAAAACAGGAGAATTCTTCAAGCATTGTATCTAACTTCGCTAGCATTAGAGACTGATGGATCTAGACTTGAGTAATTCGTTCAATGGTCATTTTATACTCCACGACAAATATGTCAGGGAGCTCATTGATATTTTGGCTCAGCCTCCTCGATAATGCTCTTGTTTTGTAAGTCTTGTATGTGGGTAGCAACACCTTGAGGTCTTAGTAATATTATTCTTTTTCTTATTAAAAAAAATGTAATCCCTACCAAAAAAATCAATTTCAAAAATATTGAATAAGTATTTAAATTGCTATAAAATTACAGGAGACAATGTCACATAGGGACAAGCCCGCTTAAATATGGTTGTACAGAAAATTACATGCTTCACATGTGAAGGAAAAAGAGGTCCTATATTTACTGCGACTCAGAAGGGCAAAAGCAATATAAAGACCTTTTCTGACTATAGGGAAAAGTGACACTCTTCTACTAAACCTGGTTTACTATTCAACTTCTGTATTACATATCATATATAGTCTAGAGACGAGCAGGATCATCCAAAAAGAAATTAATTACCAGCCCTGATAGAAGAGATCACCTTTCCCCTGAGTCTAGTGGCATACTCTGATCTACAGAAAGGAAAAAATGCACACTAGGAAAGCCCATTTTATAAGAGGACAAGAATATAAGCTCACATGGTATTTTGCTGACAAAAATTCTTGCTTTCTCTGCACGCTTTAGATTTTTGTGCACCCCCTTTCCAGCACTATAACGATTTTCATCCTGGAGAAAAGAAATTAAATGGAAGAAGATGAAGAAAATAACTGATATTCTTTCAGCTGTTAGAAGATAGGCACTTTTTGCCCTCTTTTTGTAGGAAGCCTGTAATTTTACACCTCCCAGGTTTAAGGATTCGGTCCATGGACCATTTTTTTTCAAATTTCCTGTTCTGATCTATAGGGGAACCTACATGATACATTTACTTCAAACTGACTGAGAATAGTTCATTTCTAAAGCAGAATGCTTTAACAGGAAAATCCTTCTATAAAAGCCTTTGAAAGTACAAACAGAAATAACCAATGGCTGAAATACGATAAATTATATTCTGTCCAAGCAGACGCATCAAATACATTTATGTAGCTCATTCACAAGCTATACTTTCCAAGATTGAGGAGATTAAAGAACGAGTTTTTAAGTTACATGGAAAAAAATAGCAGAATAAAGTAAGGAACCAACCTTTGTTTAGTAACAATAAAAAAGGTAAAGAAAATTTTGTAGCTCTACTTTGTCTCATTAAAGGAAGTAAAGAATAGAGTTGCTGAATATAACAAAAATATCCTTCTGTATTGAAAATTATGAAAGAGTAAAATGGATAATTAGGTAACTTTGACAAAATATAATGTTAAATAAATTATAGAACTTTTTATCAAACAATAAAGAGTAAATTACATAGAGCGCCTCAAGATTTGGGAATACATGCAACTGAGTCCACAGTTTGAATAAATAATCTAGTCCTTTCATCATTTAAGAAATGCAAAAATTTTGAAAAGGAAAATACTACAGTAGTTTACTATGCATACTGTAGTCTTCTAACACTCTTACAAATATTTCTTTACCATATTTAAATGAAATCATAATTCTTTTTGTGTTTTCTTAAACAGAACTGATTATTTTCTTCCTTTTCTTTGTTATTTAACAATCAAATGGTTATCGTGTGATACGTATTAAGTTATTATTTGACATTTCTTAAGAAAGGGAAAATTTATATTATGTCTTCATAAAAAAATTAAATTATTTTTTTAAGAAAACAACATACCTAGTTGTAAGTATTTCAAAGATCAATAAATTTCATGTAATTCACCCAAAACTATATTGTGCCTCTACCAACCCCCAAGGGATTGGATAATCAAGTGTCAGATCTCACCACTAATGTACCTGGGCTTGTCACATCTTGACTTTGTGTTTGGAGGAATTAGTAGGAATTCATAAAGGCACTATTTAGCCTCATAAGAACTCTCTTAAAAAACTATAAATAGTATGATTAACTCTACTTTACCCTTCTACCTAAAAATTAGTCTCATGTACACATTGTTAGCGACAATCTCAAATAGAGTTCAAAATGGAGCTAAATGCTTTTGAGGATGCATATAGGATCAAACTAGAAACGTATCTTAAGATTTTTAAGATACCTATAATATAGAATAAAATCAAACTGAGGTTCATCAAGGAAACTTTGCAATCAACATGCAGGTATGTATTTCTTTTTCCTTTTTTTTTTAATGAGATAAAAGGTATGCATGTATGCAATAATAGTCACCTTTTCATATTCATCAAGCCATTTTTCTTCCTCGGTTACATGTCTCCACTTCTCAACCTTGTCCAGGATGTCCTTCCTGCTTACAGCCTCCTCTTTGGCTTTTGCAATTTGATCATCCATGCTTGAAAGCAGTTCAGACAAATCAACATTACCTGTGAGGCCATATACAGATATCCACATTGCATACTTTGTCAGTCCCTTTTGCAGATTACACAAGTTGTATCACCATATTTAAGGAAGTGCAAAGCGACAATTTGCAACATAGTAGTAGAAAACAAATTTCTTAACAACCATCAAGAATCAAGTGTAATAAAACAAAATATTAAAAGATGAAAACAAAAACAAATATACGAAAGAAAAGTTAATAAGAAGATAGACAAACTTAACAAATCCGTGCATTTAGAAATCCATTTTCCAATGTCATAATCATAAACATGAGATTTGCAGAGATTGATATTTTCTTCAATGAACAAGAATGCAGGACCAGTCTGGCTACTCCAACAGATACTACCCTCTAGTTTGGAATGTTTTGTTTGGCTATAGCTGCTGCTCTTTTAAGGTAGCTCATCACCACAACCCCAAGGAAGGGGAGAACAACTCTAAATAAAATCTCATTTAAGACTCGGAACTTCCAAAAAATTCACATGAAACTCCTGGATTAACCTCTCAACTGTTGAACCTAGGAAACATATTTGAAGTACCACTCAATCATCACTACATATATACTCAACTAAGCTCTTCTGCTTCTATTATCAAAAAGCACAAGTCTAACCAAATACTAAAACTGGAAAATATATAATTAGAAAAAATGGTATTTTTGTTGTAGGAAGTAAATAATATATTCAAAAGCATACTTGTTAACTTTATGCTTCATTGGTTAAATAGAATAAATATTTTTAAATAACACTACTATATCAATTCCGTACTAGTAATTCTATTTTTATTATAGTTATTAAAATAATATTTATTTTAGATTAAATAATTAAAAGTTTAAATTAATCTTTTTATTGAATAAAAAAATACATAAAAATATTTTAAAATGATTTAAATTACTGACATATTTTAAAAAAAAAATATTTTCAAATGATTATAATAATTTTGAATGTCACATAAATTTTATCACATTAACATTTATTATAATTAATTAAATATGATATTATGTTTTATATTAAAAGCATTTTTACCACAAACTTTGCCTTTTTATCTTAAAGTTAAAGTCATTTTCAAAATTCTTTTACCAACTCATGGAAGCATCAGGCAGGCAAACTTACAGTGTTTACAAAGATTTATATTTGTAACTACAGTAATACACAAATAGCAACAAATGAAAAGTACTAAGAAACAATGATTAAAGTAAAAGACTCTTTAAGGAAATTGAAAAGAACTAACAAAAATGCATTGGATAAGAACCATATGCATTTGAAAATGCAAGATGAAGTGAATTTTGGGGATGAAAAACAAATGAAGCTTTACAGTATTCATAAAATGCAAAATTTTGAAGAAAAGATAAGAAAAGCACACAAAATAAAAATCTATGAAGTGCTCATTCCTTTTCACCCATGTAATTATTTGCATGGAATCAAAATTAAAGTCCTACTACTAGAAGTTTTTTCTTAGAGTAAGATTAAACATATCATAACAAGGCATCAAGGGTTTCCGACCAAATTCAGATCCTTTCACCATGCAAGCGGTATACTAAATTCATCACACTAGCACAGACCCAAAGAGAAGCACAAACCATAAACAGCATTGCATATAGGTTCAATTATGGAAAATAAAAACAACTAGAGCAGTTCACATGATTTGAACTTAGAACCTACTCCATTATCATGTCAAGTAATTGGCTGGTAATGAATAATCTCAAAACTTTTAGACTTTAGGGAAACAACCTATTTTCGCATTCATACTCTTAAGAAAACTAAGAAAATAAAAAATAAAACTTCAATGCTTTCTAAGTAGAATCTACTAACAACTCAAACGAGAAAGAAGGGAATCAAACCAGATTCTATTAGGTGGATAAGATTTTCTCGTGCAGCATCACTGACTACCTCCATATGAACCCCTCTATAGATCTCTTCAAGCTCACTTTGCCTCTTGAACACCAACTCCTTCATTTTGCTGGCTTTTATTACATTTAATCGCTCAATTTCAACTTCAGTCTAGAAATCATACAATGAAAACTTATTATTACAACATACCAAAACTGAAGAATAATTTTTAGATGCTTACTTTTCTATGAATAACAAAGTACTAATAAATATCACCTGCTCAATTATATCTATAGCAAGGCATCCCTGCTTTGAGACCTCGTCAACTGTGCAAGCAATCAAGCTGGTAACATGATCAAATTTGTTTCGTTCATCAACAGGTGTATCCATGAGATCCCATTGATCTATCAGCATCCTCCCCAAGCCTTGAAGCTTTAGTAAAGAAACATTTTTCAGGAATAAGAACATTTCTTAAAGCATCCAATTCTAAAAAAAATTTCACACGTAAATAGATGTAGAAGGCATACGAAGTAAGCAAAAGGATTGAAATCATCACTTCATGGACAACAAAGCTGGGAAGAAGATAAAATGATACCTCGCTCTTTTTAGAGGGGCACCTTGAAGATTTTGAAACACTCAACAAGGAACAATTCTTAATCTCTCTATATCAAAATATATAACTTATTTTAACACAATGTAGATCAATTTTCCAGGACAACTTTAATATCCTACTTTGAATTGATTAGCCTCTATAGCAACACAATTTTAATTAATCTTTTTCTGCATTTTACCACTTTAAGGCAAAATGGAAAAGAAAAGAAAAAAAAACTGTTATCGGTTTCAGTTTATTCAACTCATAATCTTCCCATTTTCTTTCTCTGAATAACCAACAGATGCTACAAATGCAGCCAAAAAAAAAGGGAGGTAATAAAATGACCAAAAGTATTCTTTAAGAAAGTAAAGGTTGATGCTGAATGATTAAAAATAAGCATGCAAAAGAAAATGGCTTAATATAATGGAAGATGAAGCCAAACTTAGACAAATTCCATTTTCTAATCAAAAAATGCCACTGCTACTCAAGAGTTCCAATATTCTTTCACTCCAGAACTTAACACAAGAAACAATATTATATGCATACCTTGTCCCTACAAAAGAATTGCAAGACACCATGACCGCGTCACAAGGTGGTAAATTATAGAAACATATTTCATTGGTAGAAACTATACCCAGGAAGGGTGAACCTGTTTATATAGTCTTCAAGAGTTTAATCACAACAGCAACTAACAAGCAACCACTTAGCTATTACTGTCCGTAACAAAAAAGTATTCGCTTGTATTTCTCTAAAATTGCAGAGACATTGTTCACATAACAAAAAAAGATAGATAAAGTCCACCTCTCAGTGGTTGTCAAATCACCTTAAGTAGCCTTTTTTGCTTCTCTTGCCTTAATGAGTCAATTACCCTGGTTAATTTAGCAAGAGTATCATTGCTGATGCTCTTTGATTGACCATTTGCAGGATCAGTCATGCTGGGATGAATATCACTCACTGTCTTTAAAAA